GCGGCTCAGTAGTGCCCTTCTTCGCTTCCTTAACACTCTCGGGATCGGCGTCATCTCCCGATGCGGCCGAGCTTGAGTCTGCCGTGTTGTTGAAGTTATCGACGATCTGCTGAATAGCTTCTTGGGTGCTGGTGGGGTGGGTGGACCGACCATCATCGAAGTTGGTAATGACCTTCCATTGTGACAACACATCTTCGGGAGTCAAGGTCTTGTTCGAGGGGAACCCATGACCTCCGGCTCGTTGCCAACGTGTTTGGGTCGCGCAGCCACCGAATACTTCGAAGAGGCATCCAGATGTACTGGTGTTATCTTCACTAACCAGATAACCGACAACGGGAGCAATGAAGTCGGGCTTGAACATTTGGACCATTTCAGCAGGCCAGACAGTGCTCGTCATTGCAGTGCCAGCGGACGGCGCAAGAGTGTTGCAAATGATGTTGTATCTGGCGCCTTCAATAGCAAGAGTGCGGGTGAGGCCGAGAATGGCAGCCTTAGCGGCTGAGTAGTTGGCTTGACCGAAGTTACCATCTACGAAGTATGCGCATTTAGCACCAGCCCGTGTGTGTAACCGATGTCGCTTACAAATACCGACTTGAGAAGCAGTGGTGACAATGCGACCATAGCGCTGCTTCTGGAAGATGGGCCAGACTGCCTTCGCGCAAGCATATGTACCCTTCAAATGAACCTTGATCACGTCATCCCAATCGCGTTGCGTCATTGCAGTGAAGCTCTTGTCTCTGTCAAGCCATTAGTACCTCGATCGGAATCAGTGACGGTTTTGTCGCGCACCGGAGAATACCGGCATTCGCGATCAGCACGTCAATCCTGCCAAACGCGTCCATGGCAGTCTGAGCGATTTTCTGTCCTTCCTCAACCGAGCAAGCTACAGCTATCGCCTTTCCACCGGCACTCTTAATCTCATCCACGACCTTCTGGGCAGCCTGCTCATTCACGTCGTTCACGACAACCTGACCGCCGAGCTTGCCGAACATCAGGGCATATGCGCGACCCAACCCACCTCCTGCGCCGGTGACGATGGTGACCTTCCCGTCAAACCGGACCGAAGGATTGGACTGTTTGTTAGGGGCAAGGGTCTTGGAAAGTTCGAGAACGCCCATCATGTCGGCATCGCCCATAGTGTTTGGGTATTCGGCCTTGTCGAAGGAGGTCACTTCATGCCACCTCTCCTTCACCTGCAAGCAATCAGTATGGCCTCTTTGGACTACGTGAATGCCATATACGCACAGCACTGGGCGTGAACGTATCATCTGTCTTGAACACCGCACCCTTGCTCCTCTCCCACCGTATCTCGCCCATCCACCCTGCACCAGCTTCGAACACCTTCCCAGACGCATTCGGTCCCTCGGGATGTGTCAGCACGGCGATGAGAGGCGCGATGAACGACGGGTTCAGGTGTTTCAGCATCTCGGGCGGCATGATCGTCTCGGTCATAGCCGACGCAGCCATCTGGCACTTGGTCAGCCAAACGTCAATATGGGCCGTTGGAGACGCATACAGGTGCAATGCAAGATGCCCGGATATTGTACTTTGCGCCTTCGATCGCGAGAGTCTTTCATCCAAATCAGTATAGTTCGCCGCGACAGCTCGAGAATGTGCACCTTGGTGAATGCCACCAGACCCATCTTCGCGGCGCTGTAGTTCGCCTGACCCAGGTTCCCATACAAGCCAGCCGCGGATGCGGTGTTGATGATCCTCCCATACTTCTGTGCGCGGAAGTGCGGCCAGACTGCTTTTGAGCAGGAGAAGGCTCCGGTCATGTGAACTGAGATGACAAGGTCCCACTCGGCGTCTGTCATGTTCTTGAAGCTGGATTGAGTGTCAGAGCCAGTTACGGCCTGTGGAAGACTGGAAGTACCTCTTATCCCTGTCAAGGTAATGAGTGGCTGCTACCGAGCGCAAATAATGGAGCTCACCTGAGTAGTCCCGCATTGTTTATGAGTACATGAACCTTGCCAAAAGTGTCGAGAGCGGTCTTCACGATGCCTTCGCCGTCCAGCACATTGTGGGTGTCGGCTACAGCTTTCCCTCCTGCTTTGGTGATCTCATCCACGACCTTCTGAGCCGCATCTTTTGACAAGTCGTTCACGACTACATTCGCACCGCGGGAGGCAAAGAAGATAGAGTAGCTGGTTGAGGGTGAGCTGACGCTACGTCCTGCAAGGGCGCATCCCTTACGCGTGACCGATCCCCCCTCCAGCTCCGGTGATGATGAACGTCTGGTCCTTGAACGACAGGGCCATAGTGATATTATGCGCGGCAAGATGGTATGGTCGTGACAAGGGTGGGATGGGACGAAAAGTGGGGCAGGGGGGGCAGCGTGAGGGGGTTAGGAGTATAAGGCGGCGGAGTTGGCTAGGGTGAGGTGGGGGATCCGGGATGGGACACGGCAACTACGGTTATATTCACGTTCTAGGGAATTCACATGTGCGGCATCAATTGCACGTGAGCCGGCTTTCTCGGCGACGAACGCCCACCGCCCACCAACCGCTTTGCTACACTGATCATGCATCCGTTTGTTCTACAAAGCAGATCTGGCGTTCCCTCATGAACAACACATTCAGGGATTGAAGCACGTCTCTGTGGACACTGTGTAGAAGCCGACGCATAACGCGGGAAGATTTTCGGTCCTTCATGATTGAGCGACCTCCACTCTGCTTAAAGGACCTGGCGAAGGCCACGGAATACGGGCTCCCGAAATGGAGTCTCCACCGACAGAAGCATGATGGTGTCCTTATTTTGACGTGACTGCTTGTGGGGCTCGCTGCATTGACAGCGTCCACCATGCAAGACTCGGACAATCTCAGTAACAGTGGGCGAACCAGTCTCAAGGATGAAGAGCATCAAATCGAGGTTGTCGTCGCAGAGGCCGGCGCGCAGAGGATAGATCCCAAGGTCGAGAAGGCGATCTGCTGGAAGCTGGATACCTGCTTGCTGTGAGGCAATCTCTTCTGCGTGCTCGTTCTCAACTGAATCCATCCCAGACCTCTGTTGACGCTCATGTATCTGTGCAACGCTCTGGACAAAGGCAATGTCGCGAATGCCAAGACGGCTGGTGCGTACATACTGCGAATAACGATCATGCTCGGTTGGCTCCAACCATTATCCAGGTATGGATGTTGACCTTGGCTTCGTGGGTAATCAGTACAACATTCTTCTTTCCGTCTTCTTCGTTCCTTTCGTGCTCTCCGCGTTCCCAGTGACGATGATTGGCAAGATATGTGGTCCATCTCGTGTCTTGCCCATCTTGATGCTTTCATTCGGTGCTATGACACTGTTAATGGCAGCGTGTCGAAACTTTGTATGTTATCCTCCCTTATTGCTACTTTTGAACTGAAACCGACCATAGGCGGGCATGATGACTGTACGCTGGTTCCTCGGTATGGCGGAAAGCGGCTTCTTCCCGTTGGTGATCTACTACTTGACGACATTCTACCGCCGAGGCGAATTGGCGCGGCGACTTGGTATTTTCTATGCGGCATTCAACGTTGCAAACGCCTTCAGTGGTCTGCTGGCGTTCGGCGTATTTCAGATCCATTCGACAAAGCTAGAAGCATGGAGGTACCTCTTCATCATCGAAGGCGCCGCTACGGTTACCATCAGCCTCATTGCGTACTCTATTTTGCCACGCTCACCGGACACCGCTCGATTCCTGTCCGAAGAAGAACGTCGACAGGCGTTCCTGCGGATCCAAAACGATTCGACCGCCATCATAGACGAGAAGCTGTCGCTGCGAGACGCACTTCGAGTCTTTATTCACCCCGTCGCGTGGGTTTGGATGGCCATCGAGATCTGCATGGGCATTCCAATGCAGTCTGTCGCGCTCTTCCTTCCTCAAATCGTGCAGCGTCTTGGATATGGCACCGTCAAGACCAACCTCTACACGGTTGCCCCCAACGTGGCAGGCGCTGCGGCATTGCTCATTTTGGCATACCTATCCGACTACACGCGCGTTCGCTTCGCATATCTCGCATTGGCACTTGTCTTCCCCTTCGTTGGCTTTGTCCTCTATGCGACCCTTGACCTCAACACCCAGCTCGGCATCGCTTACTTTGCGACATTCCTCATGTGCATGGGATCCAGCGCGCCTTCTGTACTTCTTGCCACATGGTACAACAACAACACACCGAGCGAGGGCCGGCGGAGCGCAATCACCGCGGTCGGCATCCCCCTTGGCAACCTTATGGGGGTCGTAACAAGCAACATATTCCTTCCCCAAGACGCGCCTACATACATGCCGGCACTGCTCACAACGGCTGTATTCAGTGGACTTGGCGTGGTTACGACGCTTGCGTTGGGTGGTTGGATGTGGTTGGACAATCGGCGGAGGAACATCAAATTGGGCGCCGTGTTGAGGGTGGAAGATGTTTCAACAGAGGTGCTGCACGAAGGGCCCGATCATCCTGCCTTCCGCTGGTTCTTGTAGTCCATTGATCTCACTGCAAGAAGGGGAATTGTGTTATGAGATACGCAGTCGAAACTGTCGAATGCACGCGCAGAGTGCCCTTGATTTGCTTCCAGTGTGCTCCGGCAGTCCCCGAGTGAGTATGTAAACCACGACAGATACAACCTCGACAAGTACACCGTCATTTAGCAAAGAAATCATCCCTGTGCGAAACAAGACAATGTATTGATGTTCAGAAGGGCTGGCGTGAGCAAGACTGGCAGGCCGGTCGTCTGACGCGCCCTGGACGCGCGCTTTCGGCCAGGGTTCATACAATTTCACGCGCGTCTTCGGTCAGGGCCGGTCAGGGTTCATAGGATTTGCTCCCGCTTCCCTGGGGAAAAGCTCTGTTCTATGGCAGAAACGTCGTTTCTAAGCGTTTCTAAACGTTTCTACACACTTACTAGTAGCGTAAGATTCGCAGACGGGATTCAGGGACCGAAAAAGGCTGCTCTTGCGCATCCGAACGCTTCCGTGAATGACCGTGGACCGATCGTCCGCACAATCGTCCGCAAGAGAAGCGCACCAAAAAGGCGACTGAATGCTGCCGGACTTGAACCGACGACCTTTGGTTGCCCCGAGCTTTCGCCGAATCGAAGACCAACGCGGTAACCACTCCGCTAAGCATCCTTTTACCTGGTTATTTCTCAAAGATTTATCCTGTCATACGATGGCCGGAATCACGTGACACGCAATAATCGAAGACCAACGCGGTAACCCCTCCGCCAAAGCCCCTTCAATCACCAGCTGACCGGGTTCAAGCTTTGTGTGCCACAACTGCTCTTGGGACCGCATTGAAGCGGATACCTTTATGCTTGCCAATGACTTAGTGGAGATGCTACAAGGTCTGTCGACTGCTGCCGGAATGCCGAGACTGTTGGTACGCTCGTGGCTTGCCTAAGCTTTCTCTCCATTTTACAGAGAGCCTAGTGGTTACCTCGATGGTCTGACATCGGCTCTCCCAGTAACAAACGGTGCAGTGCCATGGTCGTGTCCTCAGAGCCTGGGCAAACCCGATGCCAGGTCATTACACTATTGACAGAGCGACATGTTATACGATTCCGTGACTTTCAAATAGTCCTTTCCAATAGGGACTCTCAAATAACATTGTACTAGTGCTCCCGTCGAATCTTCCCGTCCAGTTGTTCCTCTCGTCGTATGCTGCCGGCTCAAGGGACTTGTAATTGATGTCTTGTTGCTTGGAGTATCTTGGCGGAGCAATTCTCGCTTTGGTCTTAGGCTGCTGAATCATGGTCACAAAACGGCCGGCGCGACACTTCTCAGCGAAGCAGGTCACGATACTCAACGGCATAGGTCATGAACTAATACAATACAATGCCGTTGACCCTATTCATCTTCCAACAGGAATTCACCGATCCTCTCCTTCATCTGTTCCTCGCCGAGCTTCCTCTGCACCCAGACGGGCAATGGCATAGTCGTCTCCGGGAAGCCTCCACTTTCCTCAAGCACTCGAATCTTCCCGGCGCCTGTTCCCCCTCGCGCGGTAAAGTGAGTGTGACACGAGTAGCATAGCCTTTCAGCCAGATTGTCCTCAGTCAGAAGCGGCGCTGTCTTCGGTGGTGGTAAAGGAGCCGACAACGAGCTGGCGATCGGTGTGGAGAGCGATAGAATAGCCGTCCCAGCCTTCCATCTCGATGCGTCCCTCTGGGCTGGCCGCAGGCAATACACGCATCTGTAGGCAGCCGCCTCCGAAGGAACCACTTTCGCAGCAGTTTTTGAGATTGTCGAAACAGTGCTCGGATAGTCTCGCTCCAGGCCAAGGACGAAGTCCTCCGTTAGCTTCCCGATCGTCTTCCCGCCAGCTGGTGCTAGTTCTTGAGTCGGCTTGCCATCTAAACCGCGGGGCACGGAGAGTTGACGGGAATAGAGCCACCAACCAAGCTCCTTGAGGCTCCAGTCCCGTAGAGGTCTGACAAGCTTGATATCGGCGTTGCCAACGCTAACGATTTCCTCTCTTTCGGTTCCAAGAGCGAATCCACCGCCATAGGCAACAGTTTCCAGGAGGTGAATTGACAACCGAGGCAGAGAGGTTCCAATTACGAGAACGGAGCAGCGCACCTTCGTCGTTGTGTGAAGTAATAGGAGGCGAGTCAAAGTGTGCATGGTCGCTGGGACAGATGTCGGTGTCGGCAAACTGCGGAGGTGAGCACGCAAGTTTGTGAGAGGGTCGCTGGGTCCTGCTTGCGAAGACAGGAATGGTAGACGCCCAGAAGACATATCGACCCGAATTTCGGTGATCGAGTTGTCCAAGCCAACCGCAGTCCTCCAAGCAGGGTCGAACGCGTCTTCTCCTTTGACAACTTCCAGCTCAATGCCATAGCGCTCGCACAACTCCTTTAGCGGTTCGACCAAGCACCGACCGCCTAGCGAGCTCCAGTCCACATGCACCGCCCGGACCTTGCCGACCTGCCGCCGCTCGTCCTTCCTCCCAGAGCCTTCAACCGAGAAGCACTTCCAAACGAGGTCCAGAAGAACCGAAGAGCTTGGCCCTCCAGAGAGTCCGAGGACAACGTCGGGAGGCAGTATGCGAGACGGTGTGCCGCGGGATGGTGCCGCTGGGTCGAGGGATGAAGAAAGTGCTCGGCGGAACTTGCGCACCAGCATTGCGGGGAGGCAGGAAGAACAATAAACGGCATGCTTGATCACGAGGTTGCCGCGTCGCGACTTGCACTTGATGCAGGTTTGACCGCGGTCATATCGGGACTTTCCTGTGAGTTCGTGAGTATTAGAGTCAGACGCGGAATATGGAAGCGTACGAGGCATGAGATCCTCCTTGGAGGGAGGTGCATCGCAGGACATTTGAGGGCGAAGCAATGGGGATGAAGGGAGGCAAGGCACAGAAGTAAGGTTCTGCCGTGGAGTCAAAGTATGTCCCTGAAAGAATCGATCGTGTGCCAGGGTCGACGCTTGGGTAATCGATCTTGTTTATCGGCAAACGGCCCGCGATTGCGCCGAAATTTGTCGGAGCGTTTGATATTATAGACGTGGGGCTGACCGATCCTCCCCGAGGGGGCAAACTTCGCCAGGTGCCCCCGGTAGCAGAGCGAGACAAGGAGATGAGCAGACGTGAGGTGGAGAGATATAGGAATACTTAACAGCGCAATATCTGATCGGCGTAGGAAGGTCACGGCGGTGAGTCGGCGGGTTGAAATGACCGGCGGTGTCAGCGAACGGGAGTATTTGGCAGGTGGCTAACGGAGGCAATAAGGGGCGTGACGACTCGCCCTTCCTGGGCCTTGTCCCCGCCTTGCACCGTGGACACAACGCACGCTTGCACCGACCAAGCGGCGGTTCCCTTCCTCCTCGCCACCATCTGCGCTACGCGCCCTCATCTCGTCGACAGTAACCACCACCTGCATGTTGCTACTGTACCGCTCTGCCTATACGAGACCATAGCTCGCGTCTATCAGGATCAGCCGCATCACAGCGAGCAAACTTACATTAATCCATATACCCGCACGGCATCGCCGAGCAACCTCCGACTATGGATGTCGACCTCCCACAACCTCAACCCGAAGCGGGCCCATCGCGTCCACCCACTCCGCCCCCTCCGCCAATATACTTTCCTCCATTCCGTATGTCAATCACGGGTGTGATATTAAAGTATATGCTAACACCGCGTGTAGCTCCACCACCTCCGACCCCGGTGTCCGGTACTCAGGACCTGCTGACACGCTATCACCTCTTGCCTTACTACTCCCACTATGCACGACCGTATCTGACTCCGGTGATCCCGGTATCAAGTGATCGAAAACGAAAACGTGATGCTGGGAAGGAAGTCAAGTTTGTTGGCATCGTCGAGCCGGTGGCACCCGACGGTACACCACGAGGTGGCACTCCTGTCGGACTCGGTCGCCCAGAGGCAGGCGAGACAGAAGGCAAGGGGAAGGAGAGAGAAACGACAGTGAAGATCGAAGAGCCAGAAGTCGTGACCGGGAAAGGGAAGGAGAAGGAACGTGTGAAGGACAAGGGCAAGGGTCGGGAAAGGGGCAGCGCGTCTACCGCGGTGTCACCAACAACACCCACCGCGCCAGGGAGCAGGAGACCAAAATTGAAACGCGACAAGAGCATGCCAAAGGTGAAACACGGATATCGACATTATCTGTGGGGCTTGAAAGGTATGTCCTACCGACGCGAACATGCTTTACGGTTCTGATGGGACGGGCTTCATAGGACGAGTAAACACGAAGAAAGACCGTTACCTCCTCAACCTCGTCCAAGCTCCACCAAAGCAACATCTGCGCATAAAATCAATGGAAGCGAAGACCGTTCGCGAAGCGTTCAAGCTGCAGGAAGGCGTGTTACCAGACGTGAGTTACAGCGCTGGCCTTCGCTCTGTGCCCTTGTTGAACGTCGCGGATGCAGTACGACCCTCTGAGGTACACGGATTCCCCATTGATAAGCGAAAAGAAAAAGGTTAGCTACGTGATCACCGTGTCGTGTAACCCTCGTACTGAATTGCCTTACAGCGAAAGCTCGCGGAGAAGGCTGCTCGACTCGCCGCCCGCGAACGTGCGAAGCAAGCTCGAGCTGGTGGGACGACGTCAACGCCCTCCGGAGCCGCCGCGTCGGCACCATCCGCGTCGGCACCATCTCATCCTGCTGCTGCAAGCACCATCCACGCCCCTGCTGGCGGTGTGCCAACACCAGCAACCACCAATGCAGGTACACCACCCGCAACGCCCGGCTCACCACTTCCCGGATCTTCAGCGGCAGCAGCAGCAGCAGCGCGCAAGGCCGTCGGGAGCAGCAGTCTAAAAGCGTCCCACGTGGCGCCAGGGTCACCAGCCCGTCATTCGCTATCTGCCGGTGGGTCGCCGTTCCCGAAGAAGGTTTCGTCTCCGATGCCCCAAGTTTCAAGTCCATTGCGAGCAACAGCATCGGCCACGCCTAGTGCAAGCGGTCGGCCAGGTGGCTTCGGTGCTGGTGCATCTCAGCCACGAGCGACCGCAACGATTCAAGGCAAGCCAGTGGTCAGACCTGGCGGAGTGGGTGTGGGTGAAAAGCGGAAGGAACCGCCGGACAGGGAGTCGGAGGGCGAGAGGGAACGACAAAGGGCGAAGAAGAGCGTCCCCAGTGGCATTCCTGGGGTCGGCAAGGGAGGGAAGAAGCGAAAGGTGAACGGTGCCACTGCGTAGAGCCCAGCCGCGCTGCACGAGGAGGCCCAGTGGTATGGCAGCTGCCCATACAGCAAGGCGCGTGGCGTGCGGCCTATGCTTCATCTATTTCTAACGGGATCGGTCGAGGGCGTCCACTCTTATTCTCACGTTTGTACTCTGCACATCATTCTCCCTGACCTGACCTTGCCCGTCGACTGTGGGCGGTCCTGGCAGGCATTCACGACCCCCATTATATTTGTAGACTGCTCTGCATGTTCGTGTACAGTTCTCCGATCTGCAAATGCATGATATTCTCTGTCCATGCTAGGCGGCTCTTGCAGCCACAACCGAAAGCGAGCAATCACCGAACTTGAACGTTGTAAGCAAACGCGAGCGAAGTCCAACGACGGTGACCAAAGAACTCAATTGGGTGCCAGAGAGATTATACGCGCATTACGCTACAGCAACCGTTTGTGTCTCTACGCGCCTCTACGCGGCCTACGCGCCCAA